TGGAAAATACAACCGAGACTGGAGCATCTCCTTGGCTGGCTAGTGGAGGACACTTAAAAACAAATTAAAACCCACTAAAATGGCAAGTGTGCTGGCTGAGAGGACCCCTGCATTCTTTAAAAACTAGAACCTGCCTTAGAAACAGTGCTTTGGCCTCCTAATAACCTTAATTGCTCCCGACAGGCCCCAAGAACCAGGTGTAATGACATGACTGTGTTTTGTTTGCTTTTCAGGCTGCTTTATCTCACACGACAGCTTGCACTCAGCTCAAGTGACAAAAATCCAGTTCCTCTGAAATTTGCCCCCATTCCCCCGCGGTCACAAGCTCCAGCTCCCAAAATGGTGGGAGCTGAGGTGGGGAAGAGCCCGGCACTGGCACACCGGCATCCCACTGCGGGAAACCCCCAGTAAAGCTGGGAAAGCTCCGTGCTGCCCTTTGCACTCCCCAGCTAGCAGGGCTGGGTGATTAAAGGTTTTTTTATGGCTTCTTTTGCCAGATTTACATCCCCATCCAGGCTATGCAAATATTGTTCATGACAGCGCATCCCTCCGTGGGGTTAGGAAATGCGGAGGAGGGCTGGAAACCCCAATGGATGTGGGGAAAACCCCAGGAATGCCGAGGTCCAGAGCGCCCTCGGCCAACACATCTGTGAAACGGGGCCAGCGCAGCTCCCTAGCAATTAATAAAAGCTCCAAATCCTGTGGATTTGGGTAAGAAGGTAACAACCACAGTATCACCTTCAGGAGATGGAAGCCTCCCAAGCACCAGCACTGGACAATAACACCCATCACAGGTCTCGGATCTATCACCAGTTGATAATTTGTATTTAAGAGTGTCGGTAAGAGTGCCCTCACCCTTCCCAGAGCCCAAACCTAACACCTGGGGTAGATGTTTTCCATTCTTGCAGGCTAAATAAAGTGCAGTTTCGTGGCAGCCGCCCCTATTTGGCCTCACCCGGGCCATGGAGTATTGCTGAAATTTAGCTGGGACCATTTCCAAGAATTACCTCTTGCGATTTACACTCTCCTTGGGGTTTCCCTTCTCGGGTCCTAGTGCTCCAGCCACACTCACCTGCCCTGGGACTCTTCCTCAGCCCAGAGGGGGGTCCATGGCTTCTCCTCCCCATCTTTCACTATGACTATTAGCACTGAAATCCTTTATTTTCTCCAAGAAACAAACTCACTCTTCCTTACTAAGCCGCCGTTACGATGCTGGAGTAAAAATAGCCTTTTCCAGCTAAGCTCACCTGTCTTAAGGATGTAAAATCAGTGCTCACGAAGAAATTCCTCACCAAAACAGAAGGGAATTCAGGTATAAAGATGACATCATCTCTGCCTTGGCTGACATCATCTCTGCCTTGGCCTCATGGGCACAATGAGATACGATAAGCCAAGGGCTATGGTCCATACACCGGCCTGGCTTCCCCGGGCACGGGGCGCTCCGGCAGCCTCTGCTCCGCAGCTGGGGCTGGACTAAAGGGGGGGAAGCTGCTCCCCAAGTTCCTGCACACAGACCAGAGGACGCTGCCAGACACACAGACAAACTTGGAGGAGCTGCGGCCAAACCAGACCAGCTCCTCAGGCCGTCTCTCTGAGTGCTTGCAGCCCCTGTTTCCAGCAACCGGAACATTAAATATTAAGCAAAGAGAGTTAATCTATACCTGGGATATTGACACAAAGCGGAGGAGGGGAGAAGAAAAAGATAAATAAACTTTAAAAAAAAATAAATCAATGTGCCTCTCCAGGCTGCCCCACCAGCGCTTGCCAGACATCCAAGCATGGCAGCAAGGATGCGTTTGGAGGAAGACGACGCACCGAGAAGTGCCACCCTCCCGGCCCTCCCCGGGTAGCCAGAGCACCCCGCCGGGACCCTCGGGTGCCTTGGGTGCAAGCGGGACCTCCTCAGCTGAGGGCAGAGCCCTGGCCGGGGACCGGCTCACCTCTCCCGAGGTTGGGAGAGCATCCAAGCAGCGGAAGAGCAGACATCGATTTAAGAGGGTCAATGCTCAGTTAACGCTTACCAGGACTGTTCTGCCACTCAGATCGGCTTTTGGAGCTGGGGAAGATGAGCGTGCCGAGATGGCTCATCTGTCCCTGGGCTCAGCGTCAGCTTGCACCTGGCAGGGCCGGCACTGGAGCAGCCGTGCCCCGCGGATCCCTTGGCACCAGAACGAGCCTTGTACAACCGGAGGGAAACGCTACCATTCATCTCCCAGCAAATGCTTTCAAGCATCACTCAACACCTCTCCAGCAGAGGAGACTGATTTTCTTTTTCCTGGCTGAGTGCTCACATGTATATTATTTTTTTTAATTCCAGTCTCAGCGTTCCCCCCCAGCCCTCCGCTCCCCCCGAAAGAAAACAAACCCGAAAGCACAGAGTGTGCCTTGTAAAAGTCCCGGCTCTGGTGTCCCGCCGCGAAGGGGCACGCGGTGGTCCCAGCAGCCAGCCCGCCTCAGCCCGGCGCTGCTTGTTGACATACGCGGCGCAGTATATTTCTTTAAACAAAGGAGCCTATGCATTCAATGCATTGTTGTGAGAGGGTTTGTTTTCAAAGCCTGACCCCAAATCTGAACTCCGCGGATCCTGCGTTTCTCAAGATCAAACGCGAGAAAACGTGACCAATGCAAACAAGAAATAAACCTTGATAATTATAGCCGTGTGCTGGGGCGGCTATTGTTTAGTGCACACTAGTACCCGCTTTAGCATAAACATAATCCTATTTTTAAAGGGATGCCTGACCGGTTTACAACATTTCTCCCCATTTTGCCTCCAAACCCCCTCTTCGACAGAAACCCACCTTCCCGAGAACGGAGAGGAGATTTAAGAGCAGAGCCAAAAGGCGAAGCGATGCGCCCACGGCCGTGCCGAATGCCGGTGTTGGAGCGGGGAGCGGGTCCTCATCCCCCCAACCTGCTCCCGGTTGGCGGGGGACAAGGGGGACCCCACGATCCGGCTATTGCTTGCAGCCGGCAGGAGCAGACCGACGTCGGAGGACAAACAGACAGCACCGGTCTTTTCAGGAAGGCCATATCACTTAGCGCTTGGAAAGGAGCTACAATATTTTCCTGATTATGTTTGCACGCAAACGAGCGCCGCGGGGAAATTATGCAACCCGGCGCGGGGAGGGGTGGGAGCGAGGGACGAAGGGCTGGAGGGGAGCCCCACGCTGCACCCCGCCGCCCTCGGCCCCAGACGACGCGGCTGCAGCCCCCGAGGTACCGCGCTCCCCGCGGCAGACGGGCTCCATCGCGGCCCCCTCGCCCCTCCGCCGCCGCCGGAGCCCCTGCACCGCGACCTCCCGGCGCGGAGGCAGCACTCAGCCGGCGTGTCGCGCAGCGCAGGGGTTATTAACGGCCTCTTCATTAAGCGCCCGGACCAAAATGCATACATTCGTCAGCCAGGCAATTTAATTACTGAGCCCGGGTTCACCTCGCACACCCACACGCCTTTCTTTTTCGAGGCCTCTGTGCGGTCATAGCCGTAAATAAATAGATCGCAGGAGCAAGAGGCAGATGCTGACTCCTACAACCTCCGTCTTGGGCACGGAGCCTTTAAACCACCAGAACTTGCAGTATTTAATTTCTTTTGTTACCGCTTCTACCTTTAGAGCTCTGCCTTAGGCTTTCTAGATACAATCACAGGGAGCAGGAAACAGAGAGCTACGAGATGAGCTTCCTAGCAATCACACGCAGGCTCATACAGCCCATCAATCACCCTAATTACAACCGGCCACATGTCCACAGCTCTCTGTGGCACTCCGTTACTGCCCGTAATTACACCATTGCATCCTTTCTCCAGTAACAGTATCACGGAGTTAATTTGTGATTGTAGATGGGGTGTATCTCGTAATGCGTTTCATCCTGGCGCACTCAGCGCCGTGATTGCCGGTCACGCGTCACCTGAGCGGAGGGAACGCGGGCAACACTTGTCCCCAAAATAAGACTTTAAGGTCCTCACCCGCCCCCCAGCACTGCCTCTCTCCGCAGCACGCTCCCGCTTCGGTTTCTGACTGCTGCCCACATCCCATCCAGAGTCAGGACACCACCACAAGCAGGTTCCCTCAACGCCAAGTGCTTGTCCCTATCCACCAGATAAAAGCAAGGTGGGCCATGGGTGTCCACCGCGGGGATGGATATGGCCTTCTCGGGGAGGATACCCAGACCTGGGACAAGGCTGGGCCTCCCGAAACCAGTGTCCGTCACGGACCCGCTGGGATGTCACCCCGGCAGGCTGGCGTCCCTCTGCCAAGTCTACTTGGAGAGCGGGGTCTTTGCAGCGAGAAACGTCCCTTTTCTCCATGCCAACGCTACACAGTCTTGGTCCTGGCTGAGCCTGTAGGTCCTACCAAAACACACAACCGAGTGCAGATTGTGGTCTTGCTATTAACGGACGTTACCTACTCGAGACCCCGCGCCGCCCTCGGTGGGACGGTGCAGGTGGCACTGCCAGACCTGCCCTCCGTAGGGTTCCCACCGCACGGAGACGACCCGGAGGTAGATGCTCTCCTGCAGCCACCCCCCAGCGCGATCCGGCAGATGAGGCAGACAGCTTGAAAAACCCGTAACAAAACGACCATAATAATAAAAAATAAAGGGGGCGGCTCACAGGCACCAGCTGATTCACCAGCGTTGCCCTCCTTACTCCAAAACGCACCAGGCGGGACAAGCTGAGGGCAAGCTTTTCAGCTGAATTACTTTTAATTGAGTACACAGGAGCTTAGAAACACATGATGCCGTCGCCGATAAATATAGCCACGGCTACAAGGATGGAGGGGGCAGGGAGCCATCGCGCTTCGACGCATCCGAGCAGGAGCTTCCAGCCCCGCCGCCTCCTCGGTGTGTTCGGGGAGGCTGAGCCGGCCGAGCCGCCCCCCCGGCTCCGTTCCCCCCCTCCCCGGCTCGGCGGGGCTGCCAGCTCCGCTTCTGGGAAGCCCCGGGCGGCCACCCGGACCCCCGCTCCCCTCCTTGCCCGGGCCGGGAAGGAACCGGAGAGCCCGTACCTGTTTTAAACTCCAAGGCGGGGTCCTTCTCCCCCTCTCCCAGGTCGCTCTGCAGCATCATGTAGAGGATCCCGAAGGAGTTGTGGATGCCGAAGATGGAGCCGTTGCACCAAGCGGCGGCGAAGACCACCACCCACCCGAAGCCGCCTTCGGGGGGCTGGAAAGGCGCGGCGGCTCCGCTCGCTCCCCGCTCGGCCCCGTTCCCGCTGCCGGTGGCGGTGGCG